AATCCCCTCGGAGCAAACAGCGAGCCCACCCTCAGCCCCCTCTGCTGTGCCCACCCTGCTGAAGACAGCTCCTGGGGGCAGGCAGCACGTCCCGTCGGGTGGCGCGGGGGCAGCTGGTGGGCAGCAGGTGCTGAGGGGCCGCTCTGGGAGGTCCCTCTGCCATCATGATGGAGAAGGAGCCCCCCAACTCCAGCCAAGGCTGGCTCTCAGCCGGGAACGGCAGCGGCAGCTCCTTGGGTCTGGGGTCCGTGGTGCAGCCCCTCGCCCTGAACCCGTGGCACGTCGTGCTCTGCATCTCGGGGACCGTCATCTGCTGCGAGAACGCCGTGGTGGTGCTGGTCATCTTCCACACGCCGGCTCTCCGCGCGCCGGCCTTCCTCCTGATCGGCAGCCTGGCCGCCGCCGACCTGCTGGCGGGCGTGGGGCTGCTCCTGCGCTTCGCCTTCGCCCACCTCGTCCCCTCGGAGGCGGCCAGCCTGCTGACCGTGGGGCTGCTGGTCGCCTCCTTCACGGCCAGCGTCAGCAGCCTGCTGAGCATCACCATCGACCGCTACCTGTCCCTCCACGACGCCCTGAGCTACCGCTCGGAGAGGACGGTCGCCAGGACGCGCGTCATGCTGCTCCTCACCTGGGGAGCCTCCGTCTGCTCCGGGCTGCTGCCCGTCGTGGGCTGGAACTGCCTGGAGGAGCCGTCGGCCTGCAGCGCGGTCCGGCCGCTGACCAGGAGCCACCTGGCCGCGCTGTCCGCGGCGCTGCTGGCCGCGCTGGCCGCCGTGCTCCAGCTCTACGTGCGGATGTGCCGCGTGGCGTGCCGGCACGCCCGGCAGATCGCCGTGCAGAGGCACTTGGTGGCCAGCTCCCAGGACGTGGTCGCCACGCCGGCCGTCATCCTGGGCACGCTGGCGTCCTGCTGGCTGCCCTTCGCCCTCTACGGGCTGCTGGGGGACCGCAGCTCGCCGGCCCTCTACACCTACGCCACGCTGCTCCCTGCCACCTACAACTCGGTGCTGAACCCCGTCATCTACGCCTTCAGGAACCAGGAGATCCAGAAGGTTCTGTGGGCCGCGTGCTGCGGCTGCTGCTCCTCCTCGCCGCCCTTCCGCTCCCCCAGCGACGTCTGAGCCCCCCACGCCCTTCTGCTGGGGTCTGCTTGGATCCCCCTGTTCATCCCCACGTCGCAGGAGCTCGAGCGGCTCTTCCCAGCCTCGTCCTTTTCGGGCACAGCCCCTTCTTTTCCTCTATTTTCCCACTTTTTGAACAGAGAGAAAGACGTATTTTTTATCCATAATATAATCTATATTTATGCGTGAGAGAGAGGGGGCTGATCCTCATATTTTCTTTAAAATTATTTGTGATGCTTTATTTTTTTAAGGGTGGGGAAACACCAGGAACGTTCGCCCCCCCTCTTTTTTTTTTTTTTTTACAACCTTGTTATTTACCTCAGAAAGTCAAAATATATTTTATACATTTGGGGAAGGGGAGGAGAGACTCGTTACCAGAGGAGGAGGGACTCAGCCCCCTCCCCCCCTTCTCCCAGCCGTCCATTTATTTATTTATTGGTATTTGAATTATTATTTAATTTGATTTCCGTGCCTCCCTCCCGCCGCCCGGCGCTGGGCCCTGCTGCCCTCTAGTGCTCGCTGCCTTCAGGAGGGGGCTGCCGGAGGCGCCGCACCCCCAAACCCACCAGTTTTGGGGTCCTCTGTGTGCTGCCACCCCCCTCAGGGCACCCAGGGCTCCCCCTGCCAGAGCCTTTCTTTGCACTGGGATTGGATTTGCACATTTCTGGGCTGGGGGTTTGGATGTGAAAGGGACCCCTGGGGTGGGGACCCCTCGGTGGGTCAGGGTGGGGGGGCTGCTTCTTGTTTACAACTCCGGTAGGGGAATAAATTAATTTGTGGTACGAGGTGCGGCTGTTTGGTGCTGGGGAGGGGCTGGGACGGTGTTTCCCGGGGGGCACGGGAGGCGGAGGCTGCCGGGTCCCACCGGGGCCATCCCCCGCTCGTCTCCCTGCTCCCGGGCAGGAGATGCCGAGTGACAGCGCTGCCCGCGCCCATCACATCCTGTTAGCGGGAGCTGGCCCGGGGGGAGCAGCGCTGAGGCCCCCCACCATCCTCATCCTCACGGCCCCAGCAGGCGCAGGGGCTGCATCCGGCCCTGCTGGTGACATCTGACACGTCCCCACCCGGGGATGGGGGGTCTCAGCCCCGCCGAGGGGGTGCAGCCCGGGCCCTGCATCCAGCAGGAGCCGCATCCCTGCCCCCTCTCTGCCCCCGTCCCTCTCCTGGTCGGGGGGCACGGGGGGGGCCGTGCCCAGCGCCCCCACACCGAGATCCCAAAACTGCTCAGGCAGGGTCTGAACGCCCATCCCGGCTGCCTGCCGGGGCAGGGAAGGCTGCATTAATGATGGCAGCGCTAATTAGGCGGCTCAGCCCCGCGGCGGCAGGCTCCGTGCCCGCTCGGGGGGCAGCAGGTTCCCGAGGTTTGAGCCCGGGATGTGGCAGAGTCCCGGGCCGGGGCAGCCCGGGCTCGGTGCCAGGGACCTGTGCGACCCCCGGGCTCTGCTCCGCCTCGGGCTCGGGGCTGGTGGCAGCCCCGAGGGCTGGGGCCGTTTATTGCAGGGGAAATGCAGATTTCCCTCGGCTGAGCAATGCCAGCGATGAGGGGAGATGGGGCTGGGAGGGCTGGAGGACCCCCAGATTGCCCCCTGCTCTCCCAGGCGGGGCTCAGCGCTGGGGATGGGGAATTTCGGGCTCCCCCTGTCCCCAGTGAGGTTGAGCCAGAGGCTGGAGCTGTTCATTCTACCCCAGGGCTCAGCTGAGATCCCTCAGGAGATAATTCCCAAGCCTACCTCCCGCAGCAGTGCAGAATCCCGTAATTCCCAGCTCTGCTGTGTTCAGGGCCGGTTTTTACCTGGTGATTCTTCTGTCAACATCACATGGCAGCTCAAAGTGCTTTTCTCTCCCCCGTGCCTCCCCTGCTGATGCCTTCAGAGGGAGCTTCTCCACGGCGTGCGAGCCCATCCAGTTCCTCCCACTCCCTGGGGTCCCTGTCACTTCCCCTGGGGACAGGTGACACCCCAGAGTGTGCAAGGCACACAGGCAGCACCATTCAGCTCTGCGGGGACCCCTCCTCAGGCTCCCACCCACCTCAGCCAGCGGTGGGGGCACAGGGCTGCAGCCCCCCCTTCCCAGCTCCTGGCAGGGCTGTGCTGCTGCTGCTGAGCCCCCCAGACTGCCCGGGGCACGCAGAGGGCTCAGAGCTGAGGTGACCACGGTGACCACGGTGACCACGGTGACCACGGTGACAACGTGGCATCAGAAGCCATCACAACCCAGGCCAAGGCGTTTTTTCCCAGGACCAGAAATTTGGGAGCTGTGGGAGCTGAGCCCTCACTGAACCCTTGTCACCCCCACCCCGAGAATGCCACTCTCAGCCCCGTCCCCTGCTGCCACCACGGGGACATTGCCCAGCTCCATGTGCCCCCTTGCCGGGTGGGAGAGGCACCTTGGGCCCCCACCTGTGCCCGGTTCCCTGCTGCCAGGATGCATGGGGAAGCCCCGGGGCTGGGGGAAGCCCCGGCCCTGCCATTCCCAGCTGCTCCAGGCCTTGGGGGATGATGGAGCAGGAGGCACTGGGCGGGGAGAAACAGCAGGGCCCAGCCCGCTCCCTTCCTGGGTGGAGAAAGATGCAGAAAGTGGAGCTATAAAAAAGAGTCAAATCCGTCCAAGGAGGTGCCGAGTGCTGAGCAGCCACCCCCACGCCAGGGATGTGCAGGAGAGGCTCGGGGGGGACCAACAGCCCAACTCTGGGGATAAAATATGAGCTAGGAGACGTGGGCACGGCCTCACCCCAGCTGTGCTCGCACATCTGGCAGGGCCAGCCCTCCCCAGGCTCCCAGCAGATGCTGCAAGCACAGGCAGCTCTTGCCTCCAAGGCCTGCCCGTGCTGCAGGGGGGTGGGCTGGGGCTCACTCCCCCTCTCTGGTGTGAGCAGCCCTGCTCCTGCTGGCAGCAGCGGCGCCCAGATCTGGCTCCGAGCGCTTGCCCTTGGCCACCGTGCAGGTGAGAGAGCTGGCAGCACCCACAACAGAGCCAGGGCTGGTCCCAAACCGCCCTGCTCCGGCCCTGGTGCCAAAACACCGGGGTTTTGCCAGACGGGAGGAGGGACGGGGGTTGCTGCTACTGCAAAACCTCCCCCTGGCACCCTGAGCCCCAGCTGCCCTGCCTGGGGCACAGCCCAGGGCTGCCCTTCCCCACACCCCATGCCAGGGATGGGGCTCTGCTCTCAGGGCCTTCCTGAGCACCCACGATGGGACCACGAGTCCCGAGGTACCCCCTGCACCACCCCGGGCGCGCCGGGCCACGGGGAGGGCTGGCAGCTCCAGTTATGGGCCTGGGTTACATTTAAATGAGAAACCTCAGCCCTAGCTTGGGGGATTTTGTTTCCTTGGAAGCGGCAGCAGGCAGGAAATGAAGAAAACACGGCCCTGCTGTAAGTGTTTTACCAAATGCCGGAGGCAGCGGGAGGCATTTCCCGGCACAGCTCGGCCTCGAGCATCATCCCCGGCCACCACCACAGCCACGGCTCTGGGGGCATCCGTGGTGCTTCCCGGGAGGGAAGGCTGTCTGACAGCTCTGTGCTTGGTGGGAAGCAGCAGACTTCAAGGAGAGGGGGTCAGCAGCCCCCCATTTTGTCCCTGTCGCCCCACGCGATGCAGAAGGCAGGGAGCCCAGGGCTGTGCAGGGACCCGGGGCCAGCAGGACCCTCTGCTCTCCTCAGGAAGCTCCCAGAGGACCAGGCTGCTGCTGGCTCAGGGCTGGGGCTTTGTCTAGCTGGATGGAGAGCGATTGAGCCCTGGCCACCTCCCCAGCTCCTGCCCTAAGCCCCGGCGCTGGCCTTTGCAGAGCGGCTGAGCCCGGCGCAGAGCTGCTGCCCTGCCAGACTGCAGAAACTTGAGCTCCAAATAACATAATTCCTCTGGCACCCCGTGGTTATTTGTGAGCTGCTGTGAGCAGATGGAAGAGTTACAGATAAAGCCATCCGCAGCACGGGAGCCGATTGCCTTCCCCACACAACGGCGTAGGCAACGGCAAAGGCAGGGAGGAGGAGAGAAAAAACCCACCAGGCAGCAAGAGCGCCAGAGAGGAGTCAGCCATTTCTGAGGGGCTGAGCTGCCATCTCAGCACACCTACGTGCGAGCAACGGGGACTTTCTGCTGGCACCCGGCCCTTCCCAGGGCGCTGGGAGAGGGTAGTGCTCTCCCACCACCCGTGGCTGCTTGGCCAGGGACGGCAGCGGAGCCGGGGGTGACATTGGCACGGCTGCCACACACTGGGAGAGCAGGCTGCTAACGCTGATCCGAGCTGGCAGCGCCTGCTCTTGCTTCGGTCCCAGAGGGGGAATTAAGGGAGAGAAGCTGACGTCAGTGGTGGAAAGGACACACAGCCCACTCGTCCAAGGCAGCCGGCAGCATCTTCTGGGTGTTGCTAACACCACCTTGAAGGAGAAAATTAAATAGGTCTTTGGAGACGGGGGCTCCTGCGAAGCTGCAGCGTGGCCAGCTGTGATCCTGTGCCGAGTCATGTGGAACAGACAGACGGGCACGGCCAGGGATCAAAGGCCGGGGCCGAGGTGGGAGTGCCAAGGCTGCGGAGCTGCCCCAGCTGCAGCGGAGCTGCCCCAGCTGCAGCGGCACAGGGCTGCTCACGGGCAGGGCTGGGGCTCACACAATCAATCACTGCCCTCCCCTCCCCGCACACTGCTGAGCCTCAGCCTCCAGGAGCTTCCTGCCTCCGTGGGTTACCCAGGAAGGCAGATCTGGAGCTCAGATTTCCCTGCTGTTTAGGGGGTTAAACCAGCACAAAGCTCATCAACACCACCCCAACTCTGACAACGCCTTCCAAGGGCTGCCTCTCCAAAAGCACGAGGCTCGGTGTTGTCCTGCACCCCAGAACAGCAAAGGCACCACCTGGCCACAGCCACGCCCAGCCAAAGGCAGCCAGGAGCTCCAGGTGCTCCTCCCCAGCTCCAGCTGGAGCCAAGAGCTGGGACACGCAGCTCCAGGGCGTGTGGAAGCCCCAGAGCTCCCTCCTTCCCCTGCCCTCTGCGCCCCTGCACGACTAAAGGCCTTGCTTGTTCAGGAGCTGGCAAGGCCAATTAATCTAATGAGGTTTTGCAGCCAGGGACCATTGTCAGCCAAGAAAGGCACAGCGCTGCAGAGCGAGGCACCGGTGTCTCCTACAGCCAAGGGAATTTGGCAGAGCAAAGCCCGTGGTAAAAGCAGGGACGAGGAGCAGCAGGGACAGAGCCTTTTGTTGCTTTTCACCAAGCAGCAAGAAAACAGAGCCCCACGGAGCGAGGCCAGACGAGGCACCTGAGCTCGGGGCCAGCAGCCACCGCTGCCAGGCACATCCACTGCACCAGGGAGCTGGAGCTGTGAAATGGAGGAAAAAGCTGCTGCAGCCCCTTCCCAGCCCAGCTGCAGCAACTCTGCTCTGCAAGATGGAGCCCGGGTTCATTTCCTATGGCAGGGAGCACTGGAGGGAGGCTGCTCCCGGGTGGGGCTTCCTTGGCACTGTGACCCTCAAATTGCCACTGCTAACAGCCCTCAGCCCACCTCGGCATGGAAAGGGTGTCTGTGCTGATGGCGTTTGCTCGGGAAGCACCCCTCGGGCTCTGCCTGGGCAGGAGGCAGCCAGCCCCTGCAGGGACAGCCTGGTGCTGCTCTGCGGGCACAAGGACAGGCACCACTGGCTCAGTGCCCCTGCACCTCCCACGCTGCCAGGAACGAGCCAGGTTTGCCCAGAGCAGCTGTGGTGCCCATCCTGGAGTGCCCAAGGCCAGGCTGGACGGGGTTGGGAGCACCCTGGGATAGTGGAAGGTGTCCCTGCCCATGGAATGAGATGGGCTTTAAGGTCCCTTCCAGCCCAAACCTTTCCATGACTGCAAGTCACACACACAGCCACAGCAGCCCCTGTGCCAGGCCCAGCTCACACCCCCAGTAACACACACAGGCACCGAGTGGATAGAAAGATTTTATCAAGTTTTAAAAAAGAATCAAAAAAAAATTATTTCTTTTTTTTTTTTTATACATGTACATTACAAAATATTTGCAGTTGGGATCTTCATCCAGGGGTTACTGAGCTGATTATTAAAAACAACAAAACAAAGCAGCAGGAAATCTGGCTTATACAGCAACCGACAGGGAAAAGCACAGACATTACACGGGGGTACAGAAGGCAGAGTCTGCACTGGGATGTGCAAGGATGGACCAGGGGCAGGCTCTGATCCCCCACACCCACTGCCTCCCTGCAGAGTCCGGCCATCAGTGTTTGTTTTGCAGGGGTAAAAAAAAAACAACTGACAAATCTACAGTATTTTGCTCACATGTTTGGGGTTTTTCGTCCTTTTTTCTTCTTTCTAAGCAGAGTTTCACTGCTGAAACTCCTTTGGTCTGAAGTGAGGAACCCCCTGCACCCTGAGAGTTTCCATCAAACGCCGCCCTTCCGACCCCAGCCTGGCTGGGTCCGTGGAGGGCACTTCCCATCCCTCCTCTCCCACCTTATCTCCTGCTCAGCAATAAACCCCTAAGATATAAGTGGAATAATTACTCTTATAAATATATTTATATCATGTAGGAAAATAAGGCACTTCAGGAGGGGTTACAGCTTGTCTAATTCTATGACATTCTAATCAGGAAGAAAAATGGGTTAGTTTCTGAAGTGAATTAAAATGAATGTTAATACAGTAATAAAAACATCGGATCCACTTCCACTTCAAGGCTTTGTTTAAAAAGGAAGAGAAGAAAGCACCCCCGAAATCCAACAGCAGTGAAACCTGACCCGGGGCAGCTGCATCTGCCCTGCCAGGCAGCTCCGTCCCAGAGCCCCTCCAGGGCAGGGACTTCCAAAAGAAACACGTTAAATAAGTTCACCTTCTGAAAAAAAAAAATAAAATCCAATCTACCCTTTCCCTGAAATGATCCCTCAGCCACGGGGGAGCTCGGGAGCCCCCTGGCCGGCTCTGGAGGAGAGCAGAGGAGAGGCAGTGAAGGTCACGGGCTGAGCCGGGAGCAGCAGCCGAGCACCGCGGCCGAGGACACCGCCAGAATGTTTAACCAGGGAAGGCAAGGGAAGGGAGCTTGCAGCCCCCAGGGTGGGGGAACGGCTGCAAGGGGGAGCACAGCCCGTGCCCCGGGCTTTGGGGATTGCCTGAGGGTCGCCCCAGCCCCAGGAAAGGGGAGGAAGGAGCAAGAGCCCCCAGCACGGGGGCAAAGGTGGTAGGGCAGCCCTGTACCTCCAGCGCGGCTGCTCTGTCTTGCAAAGGTTGGTTTTGGCACCTCTCCTCCTCCCCTACTGCTTTCAAAAACATTGAGCTCACTTGGTGGCCCAGAGCTCTGCGATTTTGCAAGGACACAGAGATGGTCCCTCTCTAGAGCAGCTGCTTCTCAGGGATCCCCAACAGGCTAAGGCAATCAAAGATTTAGGAAAAAAACAAAAGGCAGGAATCAAAGGAGATTTAAAAAACACTCCATCAACCAACCTCCTCTACCTGTCCACAACCGTTCTGTTTAGGATCCTGCATTTTGAAGCCTGCCCTGGGATGGGATTTGGAGCAGAGGGTGTTTCCTGCAGGCTTGCAGGGACAAGGCAGTGTCCCTCCTGTTGCCTGGAGGCCAGAGGAGCCACCTCCACCCGTGCCCACACAGCAGCATCCCTGTGCAAGAGGCAGTGTGAGGGACGTGTCCCCAGCGCCCAGGCACGGCCCTGCCTGGCACACCGTCCATGGGGCTCAGGGAATATGGCACTTCTTGGAATTTCAGGTGACAGGAAGACTGGCTCCCCTTTCCCAACGAGGGCTAAGTCTAGTTAATGCAATCTCAGACTGAGCCAGGTTTGGCATTTGCAGGCCTCTCCTCCCTGTGTGATCCTGCTGTCAGCCCAGGTTAGCTCAGGGCCCGTTTTTCCTGGGAACATCTCTCAGAGCAGCCGGAGGAGGATGCTGGCAGAAAGAGCAGCAGAACGAGGCAGTGCCTCTCTCGTCCCCTCACCCAGCTTGCAGCAACCATCCCTTTGCATTTCCAAGTCTCTCCACTGCAGCACGGCTCACCTGCACTCCAGGGGTTTGTTCCCTCTTCCAGAACCTGGCACTAGTGCTGCTCAGGAGTTCCCAGCCCACTGGGATGCCTGGCTGCCCACGCCCTCTGCATCTGCCTGCAGACAAAACCCCATGGTGCTGGAGCCTCTGGGGCCTCACAGGGTCCCAGCCTGAGCCCATCCTCCAGGCCAGCTCTGCCCCAGCCAAGATTAACACACACACACACACAAGGAATCAGTAAGAACTCGATGGCACAAGCTGAAGCCATCAATCAACTCCCAAGCAGGATTTCCAGCCAGCCTCGGGCAGAGCCCAGCGTTCCAGGTATCAGCAACATCATTAAAGGAGGCGAGGCAGGGAAGAGAGACAGGCACAGGCTGGTGAAATACTTTAGGAAAGGCAAAAAGATGGGAGAGTTGGTCTTAGTGGGACACACATCCCACAACAGCTGGACCCATAACCTCAAAAAGGCTTTGGAATTGCTTTTTGCATGACCCTCAGTGAGTCATGTCCAAATTAAAATACACATCAGGGGTATCTGGGTTAGATTTCCAAGATATGCTCATATTCTATGTAAGGTAACATAAAACAGCAATAAAACCGAGGTCAGCTAGTTCAAATTCCCCATTTTCCCCTGCCAGTACTGGATCTATAGTGAGCAGCCTGGGAATTAATTCACAGGGTTAGTGAGGAGAAAAAACGTTCTCTTAAAATTAACTAATGAATTATAATAACAAAATTAGGGTAGGTTAGATCTGATGCAACTGATGGGCAACTCAGCTCACACACAGGATGTTTTTAGGCACACAGACTCCCCTCCCCAGGGGGAAGGGAGAAGAAGCAAAGGCAATACCAGCATTTAAGTCCCTGTGTTAAAAGTACGGTCACCCCGCTAAGAAAAGCACCTCTCAAACTGCCCTGGCAGGCCAAAGACCACCACAGTGCCTGGTGCTCAGAGAACCCTCCCCACCTCATCTCCCTGTCTCAGGCACTGGATTTGGAATTTTAAAACACAGTCTCAGCATGAATTGGAGAGAATCAGCCCGGCGAGGTCTGGCCACCGCTCAGAGCTGACCACAGATGTGTCTCAGTGGGGCAGTGGCTCTGCTTTCCCAAGAGTGGCAAGCTGAACAAGCACCCTGCCCTGGTTTTACATCCCTCTGTGCAAGTCTCCTCTTGGCAAAGCAGGAGATTTGAGGAAGGTAAAGGCAGCTTCTAAAATAAAAAAAGTCTCTCCTGACACTGCACCCAAGGCACTCAGCACCCTCGGAGCTGGGAAATGCACCCCACACAGGGTGATCTGGAATTAATACTCAGGGGTCAAGGGGAAAGAATTGTGCACTATTGCCAAAAACCTGATTATTTGACAGTGGGATGCAGCAGAGAACTGACATTTAAAGCCCATTTTCTTGCAGCACTACCAGTATTCACTGGCAAGGAAGAGCCATCAGATCAACTGTCTGCTGTTGCACTGAGAAAACCAGCTGAAAATGTCCTTCATCCAAAAGGCCACATGGCCACAACAGGATCATCCATCTTTGCTTTAAAAATCCCTCAGGATGGAGGGTTTATATGTGCTCTGCCTGGTGGCATCAAAAATCTGGAGGTTTAGCTCTCTTTCAAATAAGCAACCGTCACACCCCCTCCAGCTAAATCCCAACGCCGCATCCTCGGTGCCCGCGAGGGACCTTCGGGAAAGGCAGAGTCCTGCCAAGGCTGCAGGGGCAGCGAGAGGGGAGACACGCTGCTGCTTGTCTGGAAACCCTTGGCACATCTTTGGTTACGGGATGAAAGGGATCCGGCGAGAAGCGAAGCCGGGAGAGGGGGAAGGAGGGGGTGGGAGCGCGGCTAATCCGACCACTCGTCCTCGTCGAACTCGGAGGAGTCGTCCTCGGAGTCGCTGTACTCCACCGCGATGCGGCGCGACAGGATGGTGGCCACGTCGTTGCCCACCACGTCCCGCTTCTCCTGCTCCCGCTGCTCCTCCACCTTGCGCAGCTGGAAGCCTGTTGGGCAGAAGGGAACGCCGGGGATGGGACAAGGTGGCGGTCACACGCTGCATCAGCTTTGTCACAGGGCTCTGAGCGAGGCAGGCTGGCTGTGCTGGGGTAATGCTGGTGGTGACGGCCGGGACAGCTCGGGTGGGGAGGTGGAACGGGAAGCAAATCCCTTCCGCGCCCCTCCGCAGGGTGACCCCGGTGCTGCACCTTCCCCAACAAACCTGGATGACACCAATTCCGGCACCGCCAGCCCCAAAAGCGCTGGGGGAAGCACAAAACCCAGCAAGGCGCTCAGGAGGGTGGGCAGACAAGGAGGGACCACAAGGGACAGGCCCCGAGCAGCAAGGCAGTCCCACTGCTCCCAGGAGACAGCTCCCAGGGGCGTTCCAGAGGCAAGGCACGGAAACACAACCTTACCTTGCCGAATAGCCGACAGCAGGTCACTCCTGGCGTCGCTCACCGCGGGCAAGGATGACTTGGGCTTGGATGTGGAGGTGTCAGAGGGCGGAGGGGGCGGTGGGGGGCCCTCCAGGCCGCTGGAAGCCGGCGGGGGTGGGCCCGGAGGAGGCGGGGGCGGCGGCGGGGTCCCGGGGAGGGGAAGCCCATGGGGGGTGGTGGAGGGGGGGTGCTTTCCATCAGTGGTGGTGGTGGAGGAGGAGCTGGAGGGGGAGCAAAGCCCGGCCTGGCTGCGGAGGGAGAGCCGATCGGAGGGGCTGGCGGCGGGTGGCTCGGGCTAACCAGGCTGGATCGTTTGGGCCCTCCAGAACCAGAACCTCTTTGGTTGTCTACAGGATAGCTGTGGCAACAGAACGAGAGAGACAGGGAATCAGCCCTGAGGCCAGATCAACTGTACAGTCACTGTGTTAATGCAAATCATGTGTGTTTGCTGCAGTCCAGACAAAAAAAAAATCCACGTTCCAGCTTTAACTGATGTTTCCATGAGACCTCACTCCTTGGTTTCAGTTCCCTTGCACTGTTTCTTTTGGCCTACACCTCCAGAAAAAGGAAAGCTTCTAGGGATGGCAGGAATGCTGTCCTCCATCCCATCTCCCAGGCTGACAAGAACATGAGCCACCTCACCTCTGTCAGAGGCCAGGCCCAGGCAGGGGTCAGGGATGGCTGCTGGGATAAACTGCACGAGGAGGGCGGGGGTGCCAGGAAAGCAAATGCTCTGAACACCTGCTGGGAAGGGATCTCCTCCCTGGATTCCACAGCTCGGAGCTGGAGTGCAGCAGCCGTGTCTCAGAGCTCGCTGTGGGGAGTGAAGGGGAGGACATGGGAACCCAGCGTGCTCTTATGGAAAGCACCAAGGCATGAGGGACTGAATCTCCCATTGTGGAGGCTCTGTTCATCCCACAGGACTCCACTGCCCATGTGACAGTGTGACATCCTGTGCAAGACCTCCTTCCAAACTGAGACCTCCTTCCATGGCAAGACAGAAAAATAAGGTACATTTGCCACAAAAACATCACCATTTTTAACAGTGCTGATCCAAAACAGACTCCTGGAGATGAAATCTACCTCCCAGGGTTCCTTAAAAACAACCATCAAAACAAAACCAGAAGAGGGGAGATCTGTGGGGTTGGGCAGAGATCTAAGCAACTGCATAAGGCAGTGAGAGCTTCATCTGAGAGCTCGTGCCTGCTCTGCCCGAGAGGCACAGGCTGCAGAGTGCAGTGCTGGGTCTCTCTGACACATCAGAAGAGCCTTTGCTGCAGCATTGCTGCCTTTGGATAAGATGGAGAGAAGCCAAGCAGCCCTGTCTATCAGACAGACTTTCTCTTGTTCCTCTTGACTCTGTTTTAATGTCTTAAAAAAAAAGAAAAAGTCCACTCTTTTTTCACCCTTTGCGTCTTGAGCCACTGCTGGACCGTAACTCTCATCTCTGGAGGTGCCTGGGAGTCACCATTTCATTCAATCCCAAGTAAATGACCTGAACTTGCACCCAAGTCTCTGGGAAGGAGGCAGCTGCTGTGCTCAAGTCCTTGAAACTTAAATACATCTCCATCTCCAGTGCCCACGTCGTGCATTTCTCACAGATCAGAGCAAAAGAGGTTAAAGAAGCTGTTCTTTGCAAAGCTCTGTCATGGAATATCCTGAGTAGGAAGGGACTCACAAGGATCATCGTGTTCAACCCCTGGGCCTGCACAGGAGGACACCCCCAAGAATTCCACAATGTGCCTGAGAGCGTTGTGCAAATGGAACATGAGGAACAGAAGTCCATGCTACGGAACAACTGCACTGGAAAACCACAGCAAGGAGGTCAAACCATTCACTGGGACACCGCTGTGGAATAAATCTGCTTTAGTTCCCCCCTTCTGCCTGGGAATGGTGATGGTGGCTGGGCTCCATGGAGAGCCATGGACTGTCCTGGGCTCCATGGAGAGCCACGTGCTGCCTGTCCCCTGTCCCTGCCTGCAGTTGCACTTCCCTCCCAGACAGGAGCATTCTGGTTCCCATACACCACCCATTGGGAAGTTCTGCTGAACTATCTCAGCCTGTCTCATGTCATCCTTTTACACCACCTACTACTCCTTGGTGACAGAAGGGATCCCGTAGGCTTACCTAAATTCCACCGGGGGTGGAGGCAGGCTGTCATCTGGGAACGAGGGAGGTGGTGGCACAATGGAGTCAGTCTGTGGCGGTGGCGGGTAGCAGCTCCCGTCCATGCTCTCGCTGGAGCCGATGCTGCCGTTCTGGTACACCATGTTGGAGGGGTACCTGGGAACAGCAGCACAAACAGCTTGTTTAAGGAGCTCAAGGCAATGTATAAAGCTTGTTTTTGCCCCCAGAGAGGTTGGCTGCCCCTGGATCCCTGAAGTGCCCCAGGCCAGGGTGGATGGGGCTTGGAGCAGCCTGGGACGGTGGGAAGCATCCCTGCCATGGCAGGGTTGGAACTGGATGGACTTAAAGGCCCTTTCCAACCCGAATCAATCCATGATTTTACATCACTAAAAATCCCCTTTACTTCTCAAAGACTCCTACATGGAGAACCACATACACCTGTATGTGTTTGCTCTCTGTAACTCTTTGGCTAAAATTTGCTGAGGTGTTGCCCTGTTTGTGACTGCTGCACACCAGAACAGCAGGGGTGTATATTTTAATAAACAAGCAAACAACTGAAAAAATGCATTTTTCTTTAACACTTGATTTTGTAAAAGCACTTAAGAGTGTTTTCACCAACTTGGACTTAAAGAACTTGCAGTTACACTGAGTAGCATCAGTGGTAAAAACAGGAGATACTCAAAGATGCCAAAAAGTAAGCTCGAGAATAGAATATCAAAATGGAAACCTCACTGCCCTTAAAACAAGCATTCAAAGCTGGAATGGTACTGAAAAGAGACTCTCATGCTTTCAGCAGACTTATTTCACTGTGGGGAAGGGGAACCACCCTATTTTTGGGGGCTCTGGACCCCAAGTGAATCCAAATGCAAGAACACACTCCCATGAGAAAAGAGAGGAGCAAGAAAATGGTGCTGTTGTGCTGCTCGATTCCCCTGCTAGAAACCAAACCTGTTCTCTTATTAAACTAAAAGCAAGTTTTATTTTTAGCTGGAGAGTGTGATTTAAAGAGAGATTTTTTTCTTATATGAAAGGAAGCTGCTAGGAAGAAGAGCATTGTGGGGAATTCGGTCTGCTTCCAGCCTTGCCGGTGTCAAAAGTTAAATGAATTCCCAAGCCAGAAGTGCTAAAGAGAGATCTGCAGCTCGAAATACTTGGATGGGGACAGCCCCCGCTTCAACTTTAGGGTGTGAAGAGCCATTTGTGAAATGTAACAAAGCCATCACACAATGGCACCGAGCTGCCACCCTCGGCTGGCTGTGAGGGAAGGGCATCGCCGTGGGGCAGAGCCAAAGCTCCCAACACCCTGTGCCCACAGGCAGAGAGCAGCCAGAGCCGCTCCTGCCGCCTTCCTCCAGCTCCCTGATTTATTTGGCAAATTTTAAATCAGCAGGCGGATTTACTCGGGAGAATCTGATTAGCGGCAGCATCGATCCGTGGATCCGGGGGAGCTGCAGTGCAGGGTGAACTGCATCCCAATCACCCAGCCCCAGAGCTGCTTACCCAGCAGGGCCCTGCTTGTCCTTTGACTCCACAAATTCTTGTCCCATTTTCAGCTTCTCCCACTCCTCTTTCCGGGTTTTGATTTTCCGTGGGTTCACGTTTCCTCGGTTGGGATTCTCCTTTTTCTCTTTCTAAGAGAGGAGGAATCAAACACAAGCTTTATTTTGCTTTAAATTCACTGGGAACAGAGAGGGACAGGGCAGACCTGGAGCAGTCACAACCAGACACATTCTCAAAGAGGATTTTTAGTTTACTTTCCTGATTGCTGCACTCTCCAAAGATCTTCCATAAAAAAAAAGCTGGAGCACAGACAACATAAAAATGCCAGACAACATCAGGCTGCCCAGAGCAGCCCAGACACGATGCCATCATCACCCCCTGCCATAAGCAGCTTGAGGGCAGAGTAAAAGCTCAGTTTCCCAAATCAATTTAGGTTTTGGCCTCTGTGTCAAGACACCCGAATTTCACCTTCACCCTCATGGTGTTCAGTGTTCTGGGGTGCAATATGGACACTTGCCCACAGAGGACTGGGCTTTAGATGGGCTCACTCAGAATTCTAACACACCCTACATCTCTCCTTTGTTGTTTTTCATTGAAGAATCACAATCTGTTTTCATACTTAATACTCCAGTTGCTCAAAAGCTAAATAAATCTCTTATGCTATAATATAATTTAACATTAAGGCCCAAAGACAGTGGCATTTGGAAAAACCAATTAGAGGTATCTCTGTTCTCTTTTTTTAATTAACAAGGATGTGGGTAAACAAGATAAAACTTCACTGAATTGATCCCATAGGAGTCCAAAAGTGCAAACCTGAGTTTTGGATAGTAAATTTGGAGTCCAAAATGTATTAACACCTCCCACTTCCTACTCCTCCCTTCCTCACCCTATGTTTCCGCTTTTCCTTCATGATATCCTTGGTGTCCTGAAGCATTTTCTCCTTCCAAAGGTCGAAGAAGTATGAAGGATCTGTGTAGAATTTAAGTGCCTCTTTGCCATCATCCCTGCAACAGGGGGAGGAGAGAAACACACAGACAAGGATCAGGTCACGCATTTCTTGGAAGGAAACACAAGGCACTATCTCAGATGACAGCTTAGAAGTGCAGTGAGATGGTCACAAGTGCTGTTCTTGCCTCTGCCCCCCATTTCAGAACAGGAAGAGCCCCCCATCTCAGTCACCCCAGCTCTCCCACATCCCCCTCCTTCTGCCCTCACACAATCCCTCCATTACTCAGCACCTGAAGAGCTCAACTGCTCTGAACAACCACCAGGAGAGCAGCAGGTCTCTCACTTCAACTCCCTTTTGTTTGTGCAGTGTTTTGGTGTGGAAAAACCTCCTCCTCCAGCTCAGGAACCCTAAATCAGACCAGCAGCGTCCTTGAAGCTCCTGATGAGCGCACACAGACTCCCTCTCCTCCCACTCTGCAGTGCAGCCGCGTCTGGCAGGAGACAGCTGCCTCCAGCTATCTGTAATTACTTTTTACCTGCTCAGAAGATATTTATGGATGTGGGATAAGTCTCTGGATTCTGACCCCCTTTACTTCTACTACCTACAAGATGGAATCAGAGTGGGACTGCTCAGAACTGGTTACACAGCCAGTGTAGGTCCCACCAGATGCCTCAGACCAGGCAGTGGAGGCCACAGGAAGCATCACCAGCAGCCTGCTGCACCCACCTGGGTGAGAGCCACCTCCAGGTGAACGCTCTGCACCTCACACTGCAGCTCTTTGGAAAGGAGCCATTGGGCTATGGAGGAGCACAAGGAAAATGCCTCATCTGCAGCACACGCAGCATGGTTCTGCAGAGCCAGCCACGCCTGGCCCAAGGCACCCACAAAAGTGGCAGCAGAAAACCAAAGAGATCATTTTCTAGCTACGTTCATTTGTATGACCTCAAAAGCAAAGCTTCACATAATCCAGAGGACAGAGATTTCCTGGTGGATTTGTTCAGCAGCTCAATTTCCCAGTGGAAACAGCTTCAGTCCAGCACAGCACAGGGAAGGACATCCCCAGCAGGCTGGGAGGAAGAGGTTCTTCTCTGCAAGGGAACAAGGAGTATTGCAGTCCTACCTGTAAGGTGAGAGGATGTTGAGAGGTGGAGGGGTATTGCAGGTCCTGTAGGTTTCGAGGACAGGCACAGGGAGAGAATCTCTGTCAAAGAGCTTCTGGTCCTGAGTTGTGGAGCTTTTGAAGGCCTTCCTGGTGTTAATGCCTTGCAAGGAGACTGTAAGGAAGAGGAGAGAACAAGTGAAGAACAGCTTGACCCAGGCCAACGACTCTGAAGCCCAAGCAGTGAACATCTGATTTCAGTTGGAGTTCTCGGCATGCTTTGCAGCTCTTAAGGTCAGGTTCCTTTTCCCACAGATCCCTTGGGAAACCCATCAGATCTCCAGCGTGCTGCCAAGACCTGCTGCTCCATCAACACAGCTCTGCCTCGAGTGGCCCATGGGCTTTGGAACCCCTGTGACCAAGCTCAAGCAGCTCATCCACAGCCACCCAACTGCTGAGAGCGAGTTCCCACATGGAGAGTCACTGAAGAGCCAAAACAGCTGTCCAAGTGCACCACTGGGAGGCAGGGAAACAGTCCCTCTCAGCTCAGAGAACACATTCCAACACCCATGGCAGTGTCATGCTGGTTTACAGTGCTGAACCAGCCATGCTGACTCAAGGAGAACCTTCACCATGCTCAGCCTGTGCTCACTCCATTACCTTCCTCCTCTTTGGGATCCAGCTGAGTGACTTTGACTTGCAAGCGGTCAACTCTCTCGACAAGAATGCTCACCCGAGAGGCAAAGGTGTTGGCTTGAGTAAACAACTCTCCAAATATGTCTTCTGCAGATTTACCTGCAATATTAAAGTGTCCACATTACCCTTATGAACCACATCAGACCATACGCAGTCTCCCAGCTTGTTTTAGAAAGAAAGAAAGAAAGAAAGAAAGAAAGAAAGAAAGAAAGAAAGAAAGAAAGAAAGAAAGAAAGAAAGAAAGAAAGGAAAAGAACCAACCACTCTTCAAGTTTGTCAGGGTTGAGTTTAACATCCAGGAAGAAAGGGCTTTGTTCCACCAAAACCTGACATTTCCAAGGAATCTTCAAGCAATAAGGAAACAATTGAGACACGCTTTAAAGTCTATTAGAGTAACAAACTAAAGAGGGCTGACAACACTACACTGGTCTGAATGTGGATGCATCTGAAGGTCCTTTAAGATTCTTTGCTGTTCTGTTTCTTAGACAAGGAAATACAGTTAGATTTTCATTGCTCTGGAGAATCTCAAAGGCTCCCAGTCTTCAGCAGACCTGCCTCCAGGGGAGCTGGCACACATTTACAAGCTCAAAGGACTCTGGAAGAGCAGACCCAGTCCTGGATCCTGAAGCTGGAGCTGAAACCGCAGCTGACAGCACTGACCCTGCTGTTCCTTCAGGTGGCACTGTCTGAAAAATTGATACATTCACATTGATTCTAAATCAAAACCAAAGGGGAACTTCTCAGTCAGGGACATTCTCTCTGGAACAGCCTGGACTACCCAGGGGGCTGCTGTGAAGGCACCATCCGTGGTCTGGGCCATGAGAGTGCCTGGGGCTCAGCTCAGGAGCTGCAGCACTTACAGGAGTAACAAGAACACGGCCCCATCCTCAGGAGGTAAAAACCCACAGTGCAACAAGAGATGGCCACAGGTAGACAGAGGTGGGAGACCTGGAAGAAACCCAAGAGCTTCCACTGAGTCCTGTTTTTGTTCTGCTCCCGGGCACAGCCCAAGACAGGGAGCCCCACCAGGAGGGCAGAGCAGACTTGGCACCGACCGCAGACATGGGCCGTGGTGTTCCCACTGATGGGAAACATTTCCAGCCACGGCTGCTGAGTACAAGGCTGCTCCCAATAAGCAGTCTGGTTTTGAAGTGCATCGTCATATGGTCAACAGTTTGTTCTGGAATCTGTTACTCCTAAAGATCCTCTCCGACACTCGGGAAAGAAAAACCAGTTGGAAGTCTAATTTTGACAGCAATTTTGGAAAACATGGTTGTCTACAGAGTCGGAGAGACAAAGCACCCTTGCACGAGGCAAGGCGAGGGCATCCCCCAAAGCCCAGCTGCACAAACACTCCCAGCTATCTAAGCTGACATATCAACTCCTTGTTCCTGCTCCCAGGAGATCTCCTTACACTGCCAAGCACGGGGAACAAGCCAGGTTAAAATTCAACCTTCTCCACCCCTTTTGGTGGCAATGCCAGGTCCAAGTGTTTGTAGAAAGCAAATGCTGAAGGTTAACTTCAACTGACCTCTTCCTTCCACTCCTAGACAATGCAGACTCCACACATGCTCAATTAACAAACCCTAACTCATGAGGAGGATTTTATGTTTGGAGATTTAAGGGCCAGGTAGCTCTTGTTTTAGCCACGTTTCATGAAGCAATCTCCATTTTCAACATCAGCACACATCAGCTCTCCTGTTTGACCCAAAGAGAGTAAAAATTTATCTGTGGGAAAATGCGAAACCTTCCAGCAGCAGCTCAAAAAAAGAAAAGTTGCAATTTCGTTTCTACTTTCACAAGAAGTGAAATGAAATTGAAAACATCTCTGAATTTCACAAGGAACTGCAACAAGCAGTAGGGGAAAATTAAGTCTTTGGTTTGCAAAGTATATTTCAAGTATAAAATAATCTACAAGAGCATTTTCTATAGTGGTTTTGACCCTGAAGAGAGAAGAGGTGGTCGGTGCTCACCTGCCTGTGTAAGTGCACCTGGAGTTATCACCCAGCATCTCACACGTCACCTGAGCTTCACAAACACTTTTAGATGGGGTGAGACAGAGATTAATTTTTTAGTTTAGTTACTTTGACTGCAGAAGTGCAGCTTACAATCAGAATTATCTTTGTCATGCCCCGGCAGGAAGACAGACTGCATGATTTAATAGGTCCTTCCATCTTTAGCTTGTGGATTCTGTAAAATCACACAAAACCGCGCAGCCGACTTATACAAAGTGCTCCCAGCTGCGATAGTAACGAAGGGTAAACTCACTGGAATATGAAAGTTTGACAAGATTTATGTTTGCATCTTTGTAAAGAGACTGTGGTGCACCAGGCATGGTTGATTATTCACTTGACAGGGCTGTCACAGCCTACTGAACCTGCTCTACATTCCTGTAACAGTCAAGGTAAAAGGAGAGAGAGAATTTGTTTTTTGGAGAGAGGAAAGGGCATGGGGCAGGAGTTTGGTCATTTGGGCGCAAGCGTAGTCTAAACACTGCTTTATTTGAAATACTGCTGACCCTGGGGAAGTGGATGGTGCTCAGCATTTCCCTCCCACCTGCCCTGCTCTGCTCTCACACCAACTGTCAGCAGGAGGCTCCTCTCCTCAGTTCCCCCCAGGTACCTGGGACTGGTCCAGCAGCTCACACCTTCTCCCTGCATCCCCACATCCCAGCTCCCTTCCCAAAGAAGAAACCAGGCTGTGATTTGACTCCCAGTGCCTCAGAAGCAGAGCAGCTTTGAATATCTGAGCAAAGAAGGTCTGAACCTGTGGGATCTGGCCAGGGCTGTCACACAAACCCACACGTGTCTCTGAACAGGGATGAGCTTCCCTGCAGCTGGGCTTTGCACAGCTTTACTGCCTCCTTCCTCACCATTTCACATGCACGAGATGGATTTCACTCACACTCCACAACCATCTTGGCTACCAGACCTAACAAATGAACAACGAGGGCCAGTTGAACGCGAGCAGAGAGCCTGTGCAGTGACATTTCTCCAACCCAACAGAATGTGACACCGACTGGCAGCAAACACGGGCCCAGATTTCAGTGACAGCCACGGTTTGCACTGCTGGAAAGAGGCTGCACCCAAACTTTGCCTGCCACATGGCGGAAGACAAGGGCTTGCTTTGCAGAGCAAGCAGAAGGGCTTGCAAACACCCCAGAGAAGCTAAACAATAGATTAATTTGATTATCAAAGTCTCGCTTCAAGGACAAAGGTGGTTAATCAGAACCCAGAGCATTTCGACAGTATGGAATCATCCCGGAGAGACCACAATTAACTCTTCGTTTCTCCTACAGCATGTAGGCCTGTGTTTTCCCTCCAGCTTTTCCAAGGCTCCGGGTCAGCCCACTGGAGAGCTGAGGCAGGCATCGCTCCAGCTCATGCTGCCATTTGAGTGAGCAGCCCCAAACCACCGATGCTCTGGAGGCACCACTGGACTCAGACAGGTCTTTGGGTCTCACAATGCAACAAACAGCAGCGAGGGCAAACTGGAGCTTCTGCGTGGGGGCTTTAATTATCTCTCATTAAAAATAAGGCTACTGACATGGTGTAGATTCAACAGAGTCAAGCTCCATTTAGTAGCGCATGCAATTACAGGCACGTTCTCTGACACAAGATCCTGCCTGCTCCGAGAGCCTCCCATTTTACAAGCCTGAGTTGTGCTCCATCCTTCCATCTGCAGTTTCACTGCAGCCTCTCACATGCACACACACATACACACACCCCCCTCCCCATTTTCTCTTAGATAGGAAGGCAGTGGGACCAGGGATATGAAATTAGCATCAGATTTCTTTAGGAAAACATTTTAGCATTACCCAGGGAAGGCAGATGGGGGAGAAATAGGAACACGAGAGTAGAAAGGGAGCTAAATAAAGAGCAGTAGCGACTCCTGAGGGCAACGCGCAGGCTCGCCATGGTACTCACTCAGGCTGCCCAGCTGTCGAATGACATTTGCCAGGGTGATGTTGGTCACGCATTCCAGCTCGCTCGGAACGCTAGGCAACGTCTGACGGCACAGGTGCCTTGGCTCAATGTTCCTCGTTACTAACGGCATGGTGGACCTGCTTCAGGCACTGTTCTGAAAGATGAAAAACAACCCAAAAAAGAAACAGGAAAGGATTACTCAACCGCAAATTCCAGGCACACCAGAGCCATGGTGTTCGTTTTTCCTGCTCTCAAACGGCTTTACTTATAAGCCTTCTTCCCCCCGCTCCCCACCCTGAGAAACTGGTTCATCAGAAATAAAGATCCTCCTGTTCTCTGACTTGCAGTGGCAGCCCCAGCAGCCCAGGTACAGAGGCAGAGATGGAGAACTCCACAGCTCTGCCCACACTGCCGGGCGCTGCTCCCCTCCTCCCCAGAGCCCGGACAGGGCTCCTGCCTCCCGCGCTCACACGGCGCCTGGCGCGACTCTGACGAGCTCCTCTTCAGAAACACTCCCAACCTGCAATCAATAGTTGCTTAAACCGTGGAGATGAAGACAGGAGATGTTATTACACAAAAAAAAGAAAGAACAAAACAGGCTTCTCCCAGCACGCCAAAGCACACGTGGTGCCTCCCTCCTGGAGCAGCACACGGGGCTCTCCTGGAACAACAGGAAGCGCTTGCAGCTGACCAGGAAACTTTCTGGTGACTGTTCCTTATCCTGCAGGCTGCACCCCTCTTCCCTTGGGAAATCCCCCGGGGATGAGGTTTACACTGGACCATTGTTTTTGTGCTAGAGCAGTTTAAAGTTGAGGGAGATCTGCTCAGGATGCAGGACTGGAGTTTGCTCAGAGGCAAGTCAGCACTGATTGGACAACAGGCAGGACAAACTTCCAGTTCTTTAAAAAACTAATAAAATAAAAAACCTGGAGAAAACCTAAGTGTCTGGAAGTTATGCTTTGGACACTTTTATGTGCAGGTCAGTGTCTTGAACTAAGAAAAATCTCCTTTGCTAACAGACCCAACGTTTAAGCAAGAAACAGCTTCGTCCCAGATCGTCCAGCTCCAGGAGGGAGAAGGAAAGCTGTGTGACCAGCTCACCAGAAGGAGCATCACACATGCCTGAAATCTTTAGGACTAAGTGAAAGCAAATACATCCCAAGTTCTTGATTAATTTAGAAGGGGAAAGAATCACTTTTCTAGGTCAGCTGAGGAACAACCCAAGAGAAGCAGGCAGCTCCCATGTGATAGGCATGCGGATCTGCTCGGGCTGGGTGTAAAAATAAAACAGGAAGCGAACAGCTTGGGGAACATGGCTTCCTGTCACCACCAGCAAAAACCCAAGAACCATAAAAAATCAGCTGTTTGCTCTTGACTTTGAGCCACCCTTTGATAGTCTCTGTGGCAGCTGGCAGCTTATCTTTGAGGTCCAGGAGTCCTTCCTGGATGCTTTTCTATCAGGGTGTTAAGAGGAAGAAGTGGGCATTATCCCTCCTAATTACCTCAGAAGCCAGATTTTGAATTGCTAAATTTGACCCATTAAGGCAGAGGAGTTCAAGAGCCGCAGCACCGGGCGCTGGGATGTCTCCCAGACAAGCAGATGTAGGTTGCTACCATTTTGCAACGCCTCTACACGAGGGATTTCACAGCATCTCAGAATGCCAGGATGGTTTGGGTTGGAAGGGACCTTAAAGCTCATCCTGTTCCAACCTCCTGCCACGAGACCAGGCTGCACAGAAAGGGTCCCCAAAACCAAACGCCTTATGGAACAGGGGAGCCAGATCTGCATCCAAATAAATAAAAGCAAGACCCTCTGAGGACTGAGTCTGTGTTGTTTTTCCCCGTGTCCACTGCAGCCATCAGTAACTGCTGGGATATTTAAAGAACAGGGTGAACTAAGGAAGGGCTCTGACCTTCCCTTCCCAACACCCCGTGTTTTATCGATTCCAGCCCAAGCCCTACAATCTTTTGTCAGCTTTAGTGCTTCATGCCAGACAAACTTTCCCAGCTCCCCCCAGACTGCAGTCTGCACCAACCAGCAGCTCTCATAAACAAGGCAGCATTTGCAGGCTGCCTGCATCCAGCTTCTCCCCTGTGCTTCCCCAGGGCTTGGCCAGGGAGCACACACGGTGGGATCTGCAGAGCTGGACTGGACAGCCTGCCTGGAAACCTTCCAAGGTGGAGGACAGACAGAAGGAAAACAGCAACAGGAAAAATAAGCCTGGAAGTGGGGGATGAGATGTGAGCATTCTGTACAAAAGGAGATAAAAAAAAAAACCCCAAGATGATGGGTAGCATGGTTGAATTGGAAGTGGGGGATGAGATGTGAGCATTCTGTATAAAAGGAGATAAAAAAAAAAAAAAACCCAAGATGATGGGTAGCATGGTTGGATAAATGCAGGTAACACTGATCTCTGCAAAGATGGGGAAAACAGGGCAGAAAATGGCAGCAGTGCCTCAAATACCAACAAAAAAAGGCTCTGAATACATTGCCTGTATACAGACACCCCAAAAGTGTTTGCCTTCAAAGCACGTTTTGAAAGTAAAAGCAAGGAGTAGTGGTGAGAACAGCTTTTCTTAAAAGAAAAACTAAGGTAGAGCACACGTACAGCACAAATTTGCACTGGCAAAACAGCAGAGATAAAGGCTAAGGAAAAGGCTCCCTTTATAGCCCAGCTCATGCTGCCAGCCACCCCCACCTTCCCAGCCACACTCCACTGCAGGAGAGTTTTGCCCTCATGATCACAGCAGCGCTTCCCAGGGCCAAGGGGACAGCTCTGCTGCCCCTAAACCCAGCCAGGATCCAGCAAACTAAGGGGTTAAATTAACCCTGGAGAGCACTGGAGATGAGCAAGGCAGGAAGGGCAGGATGGGCTGCGGACAACCACCCTGCTCTCCCAGCAGCTTTTGGGTAAGAGGCATTTTAAAGCAAAAATTCCTCTCTTCTGAGCAGAAGGATGAGGAGCTTCAAGATTTCTCGAAGGAAATCTGGGACCTGCAAAAAGAGTGGGTGATGTCCCTACAAGAAGACTGTAAGACCCTGCTTTTTCCTGGAGTGTTTGGAGGGTAGGGATGGAGATAGCAGCTAACGGGCTCCTGTAGAACCTTCATGCCTCATGAGTAGGTGGGACAAAGATTAATAGCGAGGATTGGAAAATAAGTGGAGTATTCCAGAAGCAGGAGTCAGGTAGGGCAGAAAACCAGGTGTGGAGAAGGGGCAAAGCATGAGGGCAAAGGGGGAAGAGGAGGCACAACACTGGAGGCAGGGAGGAGACACAGTACATAAAGAAGGGACAGAGCTAAGAAAGCTTTCTGGGAGGCTGATGCTGTTATTCTTTAAGAGAGTCATTAAGGAGGCGACTGACAGCGCAGTGCCAAGCACGGGCCAGCCAGAACCGCTTCACTTTCCGTGCTCAGGGCATGACAGCACAGCAGAATTCCACCCTGCCTGGCCAGCCTGGTCAGCAGGCATTAGTCACTGTCACACAATGGCCACAGACCATATATTATAACTAAATCCTACCATTCAGATGCAACTTAAATGAATTGCAAGGCCAAAAAATCCTTATCTTTGGGGCAAAGATAAGCGTTTCTATTTGTTTATGAATGCTGGAGATTAGATTTCTTTTGGGAGTGTAGAGTTTTGGGGTGCAGACACTGTTTTTAAAGAAGCTGCAAGAATGACAGGGGCACAGAGGAGCTGCCCTGATCCCAGTGTAACAGGAGAGATCAAGTATGTCAGAAGTAAAAGGAAACCGCCTCTAGAAACAGAAAACTCTGCAACAGATTTCTAATGAATATGGAAAACAAAGAAGGCATCAAATTGAAACACAGTGAGAGGAAAGAAGTTCAGTGATCTCCGCTGGCTGGAAGAGCCCTAAGGAAAATCCACAAACCCTGCTGCATCAATCCCCTTCAGAAGACTCATCCTCCCAACCACTGTGCTTCACACCTTCTGAAACAAGGAAACAAAAGATTTTCCTCTCCCACTTGAACCAGACCCTTCCTACCTGCTCCCAAGCACTTCCTCTGGAGCCTCCAAGTCATGACTTGAATCACAGAAGGCTCCAGGAGCCTTGACGATGTTGTGAGGGCAGTGACTAAAAGCCAAACCATCTGAAAGGCCCAGCTTTGCCCCGCAGCTCCTTTCCCCTTGCTGCCCCACCTACAGCCGGGCATTGCCAGCATGCCTCATAATTTCCCCTCTCCCAAAATGCTTACACAGGCTCTGCCGAGCCCTGGCCTGCTCCAGCCCAGAAAAATGTTTGCTGAGCACAAAAAAGCCCTGGAAGCTGAATTCACTGCTCCTACATTCCTACTGATCTTCCAGCCTCAACTGGCACCTTGTTTCCAGGGTTCACCAGGTTTTTGCTCCCCATCATCCTTCCCAACAACTCCTGCCCTTTCTCACTGCACACATTGTAGTCTTGGATGCCTCATGCTTTTCCAAGAAAGCAGGATCCATGTAGAGCTTCTTCCCGTGGCTGCTGATCTGACACCCTGCTCCTGCCACAATAAGCTCTCACCTTGAATGTCCTGCTCACCAGCTTTTAAGAGGATTCAGACTTTGGCAATTAGTTCTGTAAATACTCTTGGGCACTGGGGAACAAGCGTGGCCCAACACAGGCTGGAAAAGGGGGGAAAAACGTCGACTTGCAATTCTTGCCTTTCTGAATCCAGCACTTTAAGCAAAGCCGAGGTAAATCCAAGATAAGCATGCTGCTCCAAGATTTCTTATCAGCAAGCCATCGACCGCTCTCCCCATGAGCTCTGCTGCAGCAGATCACTCAGGAATCCCAGTTCTGGATTAGAATCAAGTACAATTGGTTTGCTTCAAACAAGAACTGCCAGTCCATAAACCCCTCGCACAAAGCTGTGTCTTATTGACTATTTTTAATAAATAGGGCTGGCACAGTAAAATTGAACAATTGCTAGGAACAATAAAGGAGACAGACTTTGATTACAACTATTGAGAAGCAATACAGGGATGTTTTAGCATTGAGTATTTGCTTTCCAACGCGAGCTCTGTCAACTGAAAACAGCAACTCAGAGCAAACACTCCTTAAAAAGGGGTTTGGAGCAGAGCAGGAAACAGCACTGCAGAGCAAGAGAGGAACCAGACCTGTTTTTTGGGGTTTTTTTGTAGAGCAGGCAGATAGCACAGTCACTGTGGTGGTGCAGAGGAGAAGGCAGGCAGGACTCCAAGGCGAGCCCTGCGGACGCAATGCACACAAAGGGCTGTAAATAACAGGTGAGGTGGAGGGAGAGATCTGGCAAGGTTCTCCTCACTGGGACCTGACCAGTTAGCATAGCGTTACTGGGAGTCACCTGGGTAATTCCCCGCTCAATGTGACACACAGCCTCTTAGATCAGGGACCATCTGCAAATAAATCTGGACCCCAGCAGTGAGATCATCTGTCATAGTGTCTGGTGTAGCACAAAGCACCTAAGGAGGGCAGAGAGCTTTTTTTGGGGAAGGGAAGGGAATTTAGGCTTCATTTCCAAGTACGTCAGGGTGACCAACCACCCTGCCCTCGGCAGGGCTTACAGAATCCTCTGCCTGGACACAAACAGGCAGCACACTCAAGGAGACCAAGCCTGCAGCTAAGCTTTTGGAGAGCCGCCTCTAGGAGTGCCCATCGAGGGACTGGGCACACCAGCAGGCC